TTATTAAGTGTGATTGCCCTGATGAATACCCGGACGACATATTGTTGGGCATCAAGATGACAGCTTTCGCAGGCCTCTTTGATGAGACAACTTCAGATTATCTAACTTCAGTCTTATTTCATGTTCCATTTTCTTTGCTAGTCCGTGGGATTTTGTTGCCATTGGGTCTGTTATATCCCATTTGCTTGGTGATATACCGGCTCTACTTCCATCCACTTGCACGGTTCCCCGGTCCTAAACTCGCAGCAGCGACCTCCTGGCACGAATTTTATTGGAATTTTGTTAAGGATGGCCAAGCAACCCATAAAAGGAAAGAGTGGCATGAAAAATACGGTGGGTGGTTCCTCATGGAGATAAATGAGGCAACTGATCACCAGCGTACTGACACAAGCGGGAATTAGGCCCCGTTGTACGAATTAATCCGAATGAAATTCACATTACGACGCCCGCTGCATATAATGAAATTTACCTCAAGACAAAACCTGTGTTCAATAAATATTATCCATTCTATCGCATGTTCCTTGCTGATACTGCTTCAATTGGAATTATGGACAACCATGCTCACCGAGCCCGCAGGGAACTTTTGACACCTCTCTTTTGCCGCCAAAATGTTATCGACATGGAGCGTGTAATTTGGAAGACCGTCTACAGTCTCTGCGATAAGCTTCAGGCTTACACGCCTCAGTCTGGGCAATCACAAGCGGGGAGGAAGATTGGAACTAAGGTGCTATTTAAGATGTTGACGAGTGATATTATCAGTGATTTTTGCTACGGTAGAAGCTTCGAATCAGTCGAGAAAGTTGAAATAAAAACTACTAAGGCAGGGATCGATAAGGCTATCCCTCCAAGATTTATCAGAGCATTGGCCGGAGCTGCTCAGGGATTTTGGTTTATGCAGAGGTTCTGGAGACTCCAGCTATTTCTAGTCAATTTACCAGATTGGTTTGTGAATATTTTTCACATCGAAGCATCTTTGGGAATGCGGGATTTGATGACTGTGCGTTGCCTTCATGTATCACGTTGCAAACACTCACTCAAAATATGATATCAAGGAATGTATGTCACACATTGACCACATCCTCCTAACTGGAGGGGCAAAACACAAGAACCTATTCAGCCAACTTCTCTTTCCTTCAACGCCTCATTACAATCCCCAAAGCGACAAAATACAAGCTTATAAACAGCCTACGGCGAAGGAGATGTTAGAAGAAGCGATTACAGTCATGGGAGGCGGTGTCGAGGAAGCAAGTAATGCCATGATGTATGGTATTTACTACATGTTGGCAACAGACGGCATCTCTGAGAAAGTGGGGAAAGAATTACGCCGCATATGGCCAGATAAGAATTCCCCAATTACCTTTCTAGAACTGGAGAGGTCAAGCTACTTTGTGGGTACTCTGTGAGAGGTGCTATAGGTATTTATTGACATTAACGAGCTATCAGATGGGGTGCATCAAGGAGATCATTCGTATGAGTGTACCTGTGCCCGGGAAATTGCCGAGGGTAGTCCCGTCTGGTGGATTTAACGTTGATGGATGGCACGTTCCAAGTGGAGTAAGTTGGGCGTGACGCTCAACCTCACCTGTGGTAATCTTTACTAAATATTAATATATTAATTTCTAGTCAATCATTTCCATGTCAGCGAACATGCAAAACTTCCATCCTGAGATCTGGTATGAGCCAAACCAGTTTATTCCGGAAAGATGGTTAGAAAAAGATGGTACACCTCGTCGGGATATGGACAGGAATTTGTGTTCCTTCTCAAAGGGTAATCGGATGTGCTTAGGCTCCAAGTAAGTCTTTATTCTTTTGACTACCAATTATACATTTCTAATTGGGATATTGACTTCGTCTAGTCTTGCCACCGCTGAGCTCTATATTACTTTGGCTATACTCTTCCGGCGATTTGACCTGGAAATTGTCGAGGAGGACACAGATATGCGGTGGGTGGACAGGGTCGCAGCCCAATCCGTAGGAGAATTGGTGTTGTTAGTGAGGGAGTTGAGGGAAGGGAGCTAACGGAACTATTCCAGAAACCTTGTATATCTCAATTATATTAATCTAGGCTGGAACTGTACCATATCAATTGGTGAACCATCTCAGTGCCTGTGCAACTTGTTTGAATTATGATTAGACTCTCCCTAGCAACTTTTTGGTTATTTCTCGACTCGAGACAACACGAGATCCCATTCAGCACTAAACACTAGTCTGGGAACAAAATCCTATTTTTGTTCCTTTAAACAGAAAATCAGTCGTTCGGGCCAGCCATCCAGAAGCCCGGGTGGATTCACTGCCTCTCGCGCGTTATATGTATGTACATGATGCTATAAGGAAATAGATGGATACTGTCATGGTAAAAGAATTTTGTAACCTTTATTCCTAGCCCTGGCCACTCGATGCATATGTGCTCTAGACACCGATATCAACCCTGTCCTTGCTGCAAGAAGTTGATATCACACCCGTTTGCGCACACGTTCATTGCCAATAAGCAATGGTAGTATGTATATTTCATTACCCTCAAAAGCCGTGATTGTGCCTAGGTATATTTGTGTTATCAAGGTCACGAGACTAATATTCTGTCCACTTCAGAAAACCCCAAAAGAGAGATTTTGCGTTTGACTCTCAATTGCAGACACCTTCTTACTCACAAAGCTGTGAACATAGTGTATATCGTGGGACTAGAAGGAAAAGGAGGCGCCTTATCCATTTTTTCTTTTTTTATTTTTCTTCGCCAGCGAAGCAGCCCTCAGGTGGCCGATCCTAAAATCAAGATGAAAGATGTGATGACGACATATAATGCTTGACAGCAAGTTGTAGCCGTTACATAGCCGTTACACAATGCCCGGCCCAGACCGAATTAGTTTCCATTCATGTACAAAACGGACAGTTCATGTACTCTTTTTTTTTTGGGTTTTTCTGGTACAGTCTGTATATGCCTGACGAGGGCGCGCCTTCCCTTGTAGGATGTTCCAAACCTTAAGCCGCGCTAGCTCCTGAGGCTAACTAGTAACAGGAAGTGATATGACTTTAACGTTAGAAATGCATAGACCGCCGAACGCCACTCCGGGTAGTACCCGACTTCCTTGCATCGGGGCTGCGGTTCGGGAGTTTTTCACATTTGCATCGCCAGTGGTCTGACTTTCCATTTCGATGCAACCAGTACTTGAAACAGACCTTTAAGACTACCGTATTTCGGTCCAACTCTTTGACTAGTCTGGCAACCAGACTACTCTTTGACCTGCTTGCTTTTGCCATGGATCTTGAAGGCTAGTCTAATGCCTGCTTTAGTGTTCATGTACTTGATTTAAGTACATATATACTTCTTGGCATGCAGGTGTCTCAACACATCTGAGTAATGCATGGGACTGTATACTGTATGAGGAGCAATGGACTGAGGTTCAGGTCGGCCCACACTCTTAAAAAATTCCCCACTCATACTGGAAGCAGTGGATCTATTTGCGTAGTACTATATAGTACTATGTAGTGTTGTATCCCTAGGCGAGACCGTGACAATTAATTAAAGGAGCAAAATTCGCTTAAGGTTGGGATTGGAGACTTATCTCGTCACTATTTGCGATTTCCATACTTACTAGTACCCACACTGTACTTTACGGCCCCCTAGATCATAATCTCCAAAGAGATGCTGCTCAAGCATATATAGTGGCCAGTATCGTAGGTAGTCAGTTCAGGCCAAGTATCAAATTTGAGTACCCAATTGAGGCAGCTCAGACTGTATTGGGCAAGATTGGTATCGACCCACACGGCGAGCAGTGCAGCAAGCCTTCCATGGCGAGGATAGCTGCCCATGTTCCTGGGGTTCAAGAGCCAGACGTTCACAAATAATGAGACTATACAAAGGTACCGCATTGAGGCGTGTTCTGATTGGTGCTTGGCCGTCGACTGCCTAATTAAGCCCAAAGTCATGATGACGTCAGTTACCCAGCTTAGTTACGAGACCACCAACCAGGGTCTGCAAGTTCTCTCTATCATTTCAATTCACCTCAGTTCGAAACCATTGCACTATCGTTGACATTCAATCCGAAAAGACGCATCAATTAATTCCACCACCGGAGCAATTCCAGTACCCTAGGTCTCCTAACCCAGATTCTTCACGAAGTCGATCTCAAAGCAGAAGCCCAAGTAGAAACATGTCTTCCGACCAAAATCGTGAAAATTCTGCCGTCTCTCGTGGGGGTACGGGAGCAACCCCTACACCAGCCAATACCACGCCGAATCCACGTGAAGGCCGGAGTGAATATTCATCAGGAAGGAGAGACAGACCAGATGTTACGCGTGGGACAGACAGAGAGGGAATCGTTCGTAGTCCTTCTGACCCTATGTTTTTGCTCTGCATGAATCTCGGCTTATATTTCTCTTGTCCTTAGATGGGTAAAATCACACGCACATCCAATGCCGGGATCGGTAAAGATTCCACTTCCCAAAGCCTCAACGTCGGGGAAAGCCTCGGATTTGGCAGTAGCGGTCGTGATGATGATGGTCCTGGTGTAATTGAGAAAGCCTCCGAAACTGCGAGAAAAGTCACTACAGAAGGAGCTAAGGGGATGTTTGCGAAGGCACAGCAGCAGCTGGGAACTCCACCAAATGTTCCCAGAAGTCATAGGAGGTCGAGTCTCATGTCGAGACAGGAACTTACGACGGACTTCTTGGCAAATTACTGTTATGAAATGAGAACAGAAATTGGCGAGCCTGAGAGTTTGGGCTTTAGCATCTGATCCGGAGAGGAGACGTCTAGAATCCTACGCCTACCCCACTTGAAGCTCCAAAGCATTAGTGTGGGTAATTACGGAGGAGCGTTCTCTCAGTGAAAAGCTTGGTTTGGATGATCGGTAATTTTATTGAATACGCATTATGAATTTGTTTTGTTATATATGTACCATAAAATCTCCTCTTGACATTCCTGTCATTGATTTAAAAGTTTGCATTTACTCCAAGCCTTAAGTGTTGAAGTTAATCTCTAAGACAAGCTACACAACCAAAGCGGTTGGATGGTGTAAAGGTAGCACACAAGATTCTGATTCTTGTAATCGGGGTTCGATTCCCCGTCTGACCTTCTGTTTTGCAGCCCTAGGCCAAAGTTAGAACTTTTTTGTTTAAATTTGTTAGTTATAAGTTGGAATCGGTATTGGGGGTTGCAATATAATTTGACCCTCTTCACTTCAGCTCAGTCTATCATAACTAACTGTAACTAGTCTTATAGCAATTATTCTCCACTGTAATAATAGTTCGGGGAATTCCTAACGCTATACACAAAATCCCCCATATCAGGGCACATTTCCAAAGGTGCCTCTTCTATCCCGATATTGTACTTCCTCCAGGTGTTCCTGAGGGCTATACCCCTCTCCTTCTTGTCTGCTAGGTCCCCTGCTACTGGTATCCATATCTCTTACCTGTTCTGAATATTCATCAATATTTCTCACCGATGCAGGAACAATCACTCTATTTTCCGTGTTCACGACCAGATAATTTCCACTCGTGGCTTCTCTTGCAGTAATATCTCTAGTCTCACCACCCTCAAGCTGAACGACATGCTTTGGGGTAAGATACTCGGGTTTGACAACAGGTTGTAAAGCGGGCTTGATTTCGTAAGTGTGGATGTCTCGTGTGATATGTTCGTGGCGGATCTCTCGATGTTGAGGGATAGTACGTTCGTGAATTATGGCTTGAACAGGAGATATCAGACGGGGTATACGATTCTGGGGTGGGCAAAATCATACGGAAATTATAGCCAACATGTTTATCTATCGAATGTGTCACTGAAGGGACATGGGTGTGGTATATCTCCGCATCGTGGTGATATGCTGGTGGCAATCCCGTGCCGCTGAGTGACTGTCGGGCAGCGTAGGTAGTAGTAAATAGGTGAGGTGTCTCATTACCCTGAGGTGACGGTTGACTTGGGCCCTGGGAGAGAGATTCACGCCACAACTGTGCTGAGGTTGAATCATCCCACTGAAAATTCTCTCTGCGGTACTGATCTGAATTTTTGGGACCAATAAGCCAATGTTTTATAATATTATCACAATAATATGCGAGTTTTCATTATCTAACCTGAAGCATAAGTTCCCAGTGTAAGTCTCCTATCCCAAAATCCAGAATCACCATCTCTTAAAGAATAATCCTTCTGATCTTCAGGTGATTCCTGTGAAGCATGCAAGATCAAATGATCCACGGCTGCGTTTTCTGACCTCAGCTTTGGCCACCCTAAAACAGGACTTTCACAATGTTCCTGCTTATGCTTCTCCACAGACGGTAACTCCGGATGATTCAAGTTGTCTGATGGGGCGTTGCTACCTTGTGGGGATTCGGTACTACAGTTGCACGGATATGTAAATCAGAATATATTCCAGAACCTTGTATTCAGACGAGATCTTGCACTTTCTACTATAGACACTCTTCGAATCGACAGAAGACTATGTATATTGGTCAATCTCTTTTCTATTACAAACTGGGACAGATTACATACAGATCCTTCCATTTCCCCTTTCACACTACCTTGGTGAATCGACGAGCGGGTAAAGCTACTGGATGGCTGCTGGCCTTGGGATCTTAGTCTTAAACTTGCACTTCCCAATGCTAATGACGCCTTATCAGAGGAGTGTACTTCCAATTGCGGTGGTTCCGACAAGACGTTTATAGCCTCTGGTGGAAGGTCAGAAAATTCACGGGTCCGGTTAATATACTCGTTTCTTTGCTGACTCGCACTGCGGAGAGAAATAGTCTTCTAAACGCGGTTCAGTATGAGCTGCGAGGACCGCTTCGTAGCTTTCTGAACCCCACAATGTTGGAGGCTCTTCACCAATTGGTGTAGCAGGTATCTCAGAGTCTGGGTGGGCTAAACACACACCAATGTGGGGTTCGATCTTCCGAGGTGAATTATAACTCGGTGCTTGAATTATGTTAATGTGATCTGGGGCAGGGGATGGATGATGGGGCTCATATGGTTTATGCGTACCACCCAGCTGCGGAGGGGAGGAGTGCTGTTCTGTGGTAGAGGATGAATTAGGAAGACCAGCTTTGCTAGCTACAAATTTCCTTGAAGAATGATGGAATAGTTGTCTGATATGCTTTCTGATCCCGAATTTGGAAGGCATGATCAGAACAACAAGTGATTGGGGGCAGGTGTGATGAAGTTCACAATATTAACCCTCCAATCTCGAGCGAGCCACATGCGTAATATCCCATAATGATATTGCTGGTAGTACGTATTCTAGTACTAGAGATGAATTAGCCTCGTAGCCACCTAGTGAATGTGTATCCGGTAACCAGCCGTGGGATGGGCAATGGGGCTATAGGAATCGGATGGGCAATGGGGCTATAGGAATCGGATGTGCCGTTGGCTTAGCAAAATGATGATAATTATCGTCATGAACTCTAGATGATCACTAATTTGCACGCCCACGCCAATACTAGAGACCGAATTTGAATTCCGTCCGGTACGGGTATATCAAAAGTGGAAAATTGAGGCTTGGAACTATCATATAGTGGCATACGAAACTAAATACCTGTCATGCGAATCTTTCCGTATATCTGCTGGGGATGAGCTCACTATTTTGTCTTGGTGGAGGGTGGAGGATCATAAATCCACCCGGAGTCTTCTCATTTCGAATTCATTTTTCCATAGTCGAACTTGATTGATAAACCAATACCTACTCAACGCCGGTTTAGTTCGAACCCCAATCAACATGCAAGCAGCTAAAGAAGCCGTGAAGGATTTCATGTGGGTAATTCCCCAAAGTAAATATAGATAAAACTAATTTATATGTTATCTATACAGCCACCCATCTCGCTCACCACATGTTCCCCCCGAGCGCGAGAATAGAAGGGAGAGTGACTCTGGAGATCGTAACACCGAGAACGTTAGAGAGGGTAATGTTAGGAACGTCGGGGAGGCGACTACCACACGTGATATTGGAGAACCTTCCACTCGTATGAGGGAAGGTTCAAATTTCAGGAACTCCGGCAGAGCAATAGGGGAGACTTCCCGAAATGTCCCTGGTGAAGCTGTGAAGGTTATATGTGCCGATATAGATCCGCTCATCACAGGCGAACGCAAATCGGATACAGAGGTTAGGGAGGTTGTCAATCCGGCCATTACCAAGGAGACCGTCATTAAGGAGAACAGGGAGACGACCATCACCGCTGTAGATCGGGAGCTACATCAAGATCATTACCAAACGAGAGTGCAGCCTGTAGTTGACAGACAAATTTTGCCCGAAGAACATCTACACAAGCAGGCGCCGATAGAGTATAAGGAGCACAAGCATCACAAGGGGGATGAAATTCGCAGGGCACTGGAAGAAGAGGTTAGTCTTATTGGTTAGTCTTATTTGTACAGGTATAGGATATGGTTAACCTTATATTAGCGTTCCCGTTTCAAATCTACACGAGAGGTACTTCCTACGAAACACACTGTTGAAGCTGGTGACACCGTAGTAGGTGAACATCATCATCATCATGTGTATGAAACCGTGCAACCAGTGATCGAGCGCGAGATCATTCAACCTATTATCACCCATACTACCATTCCAATTCACGAACGAATCGAGAAGGATCCTTCGTTCCACCCCAAGACAATCCAGCCAGTGATGACTATGGACGAATTCCTTCGTGCAGGTGGAACTTTGGAAGGCCGTGCTGAGCGCGTTGACCTGTTTGAGGGAGAGCCACAGGTAATGGAAAATGGTGGTGCTGATCAGACACACCCCAATGCATGGGATGCGAAGGGGCATCATATTGATATACGAGCTGGCACCGAGGCACGAGTAAGGGGAGTTGGAATAGCACAGGGAGCAGCTTCCGGTGGACGCGGAGAGATGACCACTACCACGACCACTACAAGGAGAATGGAACAGCCGATGCGTACTGCAAGTCCCTTGACGGCTGCCGAGAGAGAGCGTGTGATGATGCAAGGAAACATCAGGACGAGGAGCCCCTTGGCTAGTCCTGGCCTGCATACAGCTGGACGCACCTCTGCTGTCTAAATAGTAGTGGGGATGCTAATAATAAAGTCGGAAGAGTTGGAATATGTGTTCGGGAAGAGTTAGCACCAATGAAGGGTGGAATAGGTAAGCTGGAGTGTTCTTTATCATGTATCATATTAAATATTTGATTCGCTAGGAAATAATACGAAGTTGGTCTATCTTATATCTCTCTCACTCCATCCAGTCATGGTGGTATTCATGCTGGTGATGTTTGTGTTGGTGATTTATGGGTAATTCTGCAGCTGATTACAGTGGTGATTGTAACAACTTCCTCAGTTTTTGGTCCCACTCATCACTCTTCTGTCCCTCTCTGGACTGTGTCGAGCCAACTGTTCCTTGGTGATTTTGATAGTGTGGAAGTTCAGGACCTTTGTTGTCGGCGTCATGGCTAATTTGGAGGAAAAAATCAAGAATGACCTTCTCCAGATGGTAGGAGTTGAGGTTTTTTTGTAACGCCGCTGGAATGTTTGTTAAGTTCAGAGGTGTGAAGGAAATCGGGGCAGGAAGTTGCTGGCTCTATACATGATCATAGATATATTGGACTACCTTGCAAGTCTACTGATCAGTGAACACTATCTGACACATGCAGCCGCAGTGCCTTTGTCAGCCATAGTGCAACACGAATGGGTTAGTCTTGTTGGCACGGAAGGCGTAATTTGTGGACGATGGTTTAATTGGTGGTGTTTCAGAATGTTGCTTGGTTAGTACCATATGTAATGAGTTAACTAGTCTGGTTGGCACAACGCCGTTCGTAGAGCTAATGAGTCGAAGGCAAAGGTTACCATTCCGGTTACGGTGCTTACCTATACATATGATATGATATGATATTTTATATGTTATAACCATGGGCTGCTAAGACATGCACAACTTGCATTGCAGCAGCAGGTAAGCCAGAAGCAGTAACAACACTGGCCGGGGGTCACGTTACTAGTATGGCTTTTTGGAGGTATGGAATTTTGGAGGTATGGTTGTGGACGCATGGTTGTAGATGCCGAATATATTACTACAGAAACTGGAAACATTAGGTTTATATTCATTGATAACGCAAGTCATTTAGACCCTAATGTGAAAA